TTTCTGCTTACATGGTCGTTTCATTGCTTTCGAGATCAACTTCTTTTCGATATATACAACTTATATACACATTGTTTAAATACATGCCATGCTTTCCCAGAAAGGACCGCCTTTATAAATACAAGCAAAAAGGCATAATATATATATGTGTGTACATTGTATTTATTGTTCTTTATGTAAAACTAAAAGAAAGGCTCACTCAATGCCTTGTTCTTTTTCTATTATCTTCAAACTGATTGTTGTATCTCTTGACACCACGTTCATCATCTTTCCATTCTGGTTTATACTCTGCCTCTGGTTCCTCAATCACCATGCGATCACGTACTGGTTGTCCTTGGAAACCACCTACTCTGGCTATCACCAGATTATCTTTCTCTTCTGCACTTAGTTCAGCCAAAGGTATAATCGAATCACCACGATCGTAGTTGAAGTGTTTCTTGGGACCAAACCCAAATCCCCAATTGACCTTTACAGGCATGCCTTCAACCATGAGCCCTGCTCCATCGTATTTGGCTGCTTCTGTGGCTGCTCGAGTAGTAAATTTGAGAAATGCATTGTGTCTGCCTTTTAATTTTTTTGATACCTAACAGAAATTATAGTGAGTATATTGTATATGATACACGCATATATACTCACAATCACACTAGCTATCTCTCCATATTTGGCAAATAAGCGTGCCACATCTTCTCTTTCATAGTGATCAGGAATAGGACCAACAAATAATGTACGTGTCAGGACTATATAAAAAGAGAGGCATAAGAAAGTGTTTTACCTTTATATTTCTTTATGTACCTCGAATACAACCAGGTGGTAAACTGGTATCACTCATTGGTTGTGCTCCTTTATATTGTATCTGTTGTAGTGGCTGCTGCTGCTGTTGCTGTTGTTGCTGATAATACTGATACTGCTGTTGATAGTATTGCTGATATTGTTGTTGATATAACTGCTGGTTCATTTGTTGATATATGGGAGCGTTATTAATATTATTATTGTTGTTATTGTTGGCTGTCTGAGTCATTTGGCGATGGAGCCAAGGTTCTTGAGCAGATGAATTAGCAGTAATGGTAGATGTAGTATGTGTAGTATGAGGAGTAACAGTAACAGGAGACGTAGTAGTAGTAGTAGTAGTTTTATTAGCGATATTATCTGTGTCATTACCCCATCTTGACTTCTTTTCTGTTCTTCCAACATTCGCAAGTGGCACAGAGGGTCCTTGGGGTGGTGGCCAAACGCTTGGTTTTATTTTAGACTCACTAGCAGCTAGTCGAGGGTCAAGGCGAACTTGGGCTGGTGTGTTGGTGACTGGTGCTTGTACTTGGGCTGAAGTTGAAGCTGGTGTTGGTGTAGTGACCAGACTGCCCAAAAGTTTAGCCAAAGCAGGAGGAAGTGATAGATCCTTGTTTACTTGCTGTGTGACAGGTGCAGCAGTTGTTGTTACAGTAGTAGTAGTACTAGTGTTGGCTATTGGTGTAGTATAGCTGCCATTGCTACTATCACTGCTAGTACTACTGTTGCTAATACTACTACTATTGTTATTATTACTTGTTAAACCGGGAATATTCAAGTTGCCAATGTTACTAAGTGTTGCCAATAGAGCAGCTGTATCAACAGGTGGAGACACTATTATTATCAAGAGTGATAATTTATAATAAAAGAAGTGTGTTTTAATACCAATCCAAACGATATATAAACTCTTAAGAAAATTCAAAAAGTGGGTATTTTTAAAGCTTCTTTTTATATAAAATTGTGTTTGATAATAACCTTTGTCCTGCTTACTTTGTTTTAAAAATGAATCCTTTACATACTGAACTACTTCCTTTGGATAAATGCTTCCTTGTTCCCAAAAATCCAGTGTCTTTTTCACCTTATCCTATTGACATTTATAAGCAAAAAAAGAAAAGATATAAAATATGATCTTACCTTATCTTTGGTTGAGCATGACTCAAAGCATCCGATAAGTGAGTCATCCTTCAAGACGATAGCAAACCGCTTAAGGTATCCTTCTGCTTCAAAGCTTCCTTTTTCATTATTCTCTTCTCTTCTCCTCAGCTGTTTATGGACTGCACGCGAAATGGCGTCAATTACATACAAACCTGCCAAGCGATAATCAGGTGGAGCACTTTCAATGAATTTCGTAATGCATTGTACAATGTAATTGTGATGCTAAACATGTGTGGGCCCAATCATGTATAATATGTGTAACTAGTTTACTTACCTTTGGGTGAGAAGTTGCTAATTGTTGAAGTGAAGTAATTTTAGATGCTGATACTGGTAATTTACTATCTAAAATTGACTTGAGTTCCTTGTCAAAGAAGGTTCGATCCCAATTATCTGTCATTGTCTAAAGAAGTAAAAAAAAAAAAAGGAAGGAAGGAAAAAAAAAAAAACCTTTTAACAGCCCGCACCTTCAACAGTTACCCATATAGATGTATTTGCGTCACACGCAAATTTCCGTTTTAATAGAGTACACATACACACTTTGTTATGTATTGTATTATATGTAATTTACATCAACAGTGATTGTAGCATGGCGAGATAGAAAAAGAGCAAAGGAACAAAGAAAAGAAAGGGGGAGGATTTCTATTAAAAGAAAACTTGTATTTTTAAATCAGTATCAAGTCTAATAGTGTCACTTGTTACATGCAATCAAATGAACTAGTATCCTTTGTCTTTCTCTCTTTCTTTGTTTTGTCCTCTCCATCTCCTTCTTTTAGGTATGATGGGCGGTCATTTAAAATCAAAGATTCTGTGGCTTATCAATAACCAGGGGACTCGAGGTTCATTTTGGATACACACACATCTTTCTCTCTAGTCAACAAAATATATAAAATGCAGGCATTTCGATCACTCTTGCGACCATTGACTGCTCCCATCAATCCTTTAAAGCCCTTCTTGTCTACAGCTACAGCATTTAACCGGGGTATATTGGGTCAATTAAAACCTGTCAGCAATATACAAAGTGCTCACATGGCCACTCTCAACCAAGTCATTCGTAAATGTCGCAAGTCCAAGCCCAAGTTGAGCAAGACACCTGCCTTGGACAGCTGTTATCAACGCAAAGGCGTGTGTAATAAAGTCTATACCACCAAACCTAAAAAGCCCAACTCAGCTCAACGTAAGGTCGCTCGTGTGAAGTTGACAAATGGAAAGGTCGTTACTGCCTATATTCCTGGTGAAGGACATAATTTGCAAGAACACTCTGTCGTTCTCGTTCGTGGTGGTCGTGTACCAGATCTTCCAGGTGTTCGTTACCATCTTGTTCGTGGTGCTTTAGATCTTCAAGGTGTTGCTACAAGAACAACAAGTAGATCTAAATACGGAAGTAAGGATGAATGTTTATTATCCATTTCAACTACTAAGCTCATTTTATATTATAGCCAAAAAGCCAAGCAAGAACAACTAATCTTTATGTACTCTTTTAGAAAGAATTCTGTAAAAAGAAACAATCACATTGTATTCAGGCCATGTGTAAAGTCAATAAATTGTATACAAATGCCATTCACCAAAAAAAAAAAGAATCATGTATACTTTTTGTCATTGATAGTAGCTTTATGCTGGAAGAATGTAGCTGAACCTCCCACTTGAATTCAATAAAATCAGCTGGAGGGTAAAAAGGCACTAAGATATAGTCTTCTTTTTTTTTTTTTTCTTCAATGCCTCATAATGTCTTTTCTTTTTTCACTTAAACAGAACTGTAGTAAAGAAATTAAACATATTTATTATAATTTGGATATTTCACCAGTAAACATATATATATATTTTATATACACACAAATGAAAAGAAAAACTCTAGTATATAAACAAGATGGTGGCCAAGACAGACACAAATGCTAAACTAACCACAGGCTTGACAGCATCAGCTCTACTGGCTAATGCGTTCATGACATCTGTATCCAAGAAACCAAAGCCAGAGAAACTCATATTGACGGTGGGTACAGTGACCAAAACCAACTTGTTGGTTCGATTGGAAGCAGGCGAATTGGGGCCCCAGATCCAATCGTTCGTTTGGTACTGTGGAGTGCCTGCCAAGTTTTGAGCATTGAGGCTGCTGATGAGCCCTGTGGCATCTGTTAAATTAACGGTGTTTTGATATTCAAGACGACCCTCGGTGTTATTTCCGATAGATATACCATAGGTTATGTTTGTTTTGATCTGTTGAGCGACATCGACGGGCGTAGTTGTGTTGACATCAAACACAACAGGTACATCAATGTGTGTTGACAGGAGCTGTGCAACGGCTACACGTGCGGTTGGGCTGCTGCGATTGGCAGGGAATCCATTCAGGGCAAAATCATATTCCAGCGAATTGGGTTGCATCACAATGGGTGCTGTATTGTTCAGCTGCAGGTTGCTTGCTCTCCAAGTGATCTTTACAGAAAATTGAGTTCCATTGTTGTTGTTATAGGTGGCGTTAGCTAATGTGGTTGTTTGCAAATAGAATTGACTCGAGTTAGTGGGTACAGTAATGTTGGATACCATCAATGACTGCCATTGCAGGTTTTGAAGAGAACTACTGGATAAAATAGGCTCATTGCTGTCATAGAATCCATTCTGGTTAAGGTCGTCAAATTCGATAACATGAGAGAACTGCAATCGATAGGTGAAATCAGCTGTAGGAGCACTGGTGTCTGAAGTGGCAAAGAAGGCATGGTCAACCATGGGGAATTGATTGTTGGTACTAATGTTGAATGAGATGTGATAATTTTCGTCGTTTTTGCCGGTGAATGCTGTTCCGTTGATAACGACGTTAGGTGTGTTACTGCCTTGCTCTGTCAATTGTGGTGCATAGTAGTAGCCGTTTTGTTGGTTGTATCGGTGATATGCCGCATGATATCCCATGAAAAGGAAAGGTGGCATTATAGCAAAATAAAGTAATCCTGGATTGTAGAAGCCATAATAACCGTATCTGGAGACTGGTGAGTATCCGCTTGTGTAGGCTGGAGGATAGTTTGTATAGGTTGCTAGAAAAAAGTAAAGTTATAATGCGCTTCATACTACCATGGCAAATTTTCAATCTTACTTCGCTTATCTGTATAACTGTATGGAGGAGGAGAGTTAAAGGAACCTGAACCTCCTCTGTTAGAGACACTATTTGGAGTACCTATATATCATGACATATTTATAAATATTTATTCAATATGTATCAATAGACGACATTACCAGCACTTCCTCCAAATCCGCCTGTTCCACCCGTACCTCCACCTGTTCTAGCTCCACCTCCACCAACACTTCCACCACCACCGCCTCCTCCACCTCCTCCTCCACCTCCTCGACCTCCACCGCCGCCTCCTTTAGCCAAGACAGCTAAAGAAAGATTAGTATTGGTAATAGTAATTCCATAGTAACTATAGTTACCTATAGCACAATAGAGTAATAAAATCGATGTGTGCAAAGCAAACTTCATTGTTCAATTGTATACGTAATAATAAGAGAAACAAGAGAAAAAAAGGAAACAATAGAAAATGGGAAAAGTTTATATATTTTTTGGTATGTTTGTGTAACATACTGCGCTAAGCATATTGCTAAGCTACATGATCGTATGAACAGAGGGCTAAGTTTAGTACAATGCTTTTGTGCATGTTGGAAACTAAGTAAATGATGATCGGAAAGAAGCGCCTTCTTGGTTGTATAAACATCAATCAAGAAAAATGAAGTATTTTTTTTTTGCAAGAGACTTTCAGTAATAGCTGATTGTGCACTCTCTGACATTTGAACTCAACTTGCTTGTTATTGAAAACAGGTGGTAACTTCTTGTAATTTACAGAGTCAATGCAGGAGCGACATTTCCAAAGACACCCGCAGCAGCACGTTCAAATTCTTTGGCATAATAAAAGGGTGTAAAGCTGCCAAAGAGTTTGGAAGAGTGATTCGGTCAATCACTAGTGCTGTGTGCAGATGGCTAAATACTTGCACTACAAAGAAATCCAAGTATAATCATATAGTGAATAAATAAATTTACTATTTAATGTGTCCCTTCCAATATCCTCTTGGTTGAAACTTGCCATTCGCTTGGAAGCATACAATTGGATGGTCATTCATTTGAGCGGAATTCTTCGACAATAAAGGAAATGCTTGCTTTTACTGCTATCGTCAGGTTCCACCTTGTCATAACCCAAGGAGAGGCCTATTATCAGCTGTACAATGTCATCAGGTCAACTTTGGGGCACCGTTTTCTCCATTATGTTGGGCCACTGCAACAGAAGTTCCTTGTTGACATCTGCAAATATTGATGCAAGCAGAGGTTTGTATTCAAATTTGTTGTTAAAAAAAAAGCTGTTAAGTCAATGATCTGTAAAGTAGTTTGTTTATTAAAAGAAAAGAGTATTGTTAAAATAAGAAATGTGTGCGTTTTATAGGGGGATAGAATCTATGGCTGCTATTATATTTAATGTCGCCAGCATGACCATTTATGCTACTACTGCTGTCAATTTTATTCTCATTATGATGCGATAGAGGAATATAAAGTAAAGTGTATGCTCTACTATAAAATTATGCTTCTGCGACTCCGTAAGGTGGCACGAAGGATAGCTTTTAAGATGCTTAGCGCTATAAATATGGTGCATTCATGCAGCAACCAAAGACGGAACGTTACATTCAAGGGTTTAGAATTCGTTTTGATGAGGCAAACAGGCCGTATTACATGATGTATCTGCTTTATTCGGTATGATTAGCGTATTATTTGCTTAGAAAGGTACTTTAACCAGATATTGTTCAAATCCATGGCATAATCTAATTTTTCACGGTTAGATAAACCAAGCATATATACTCACTACATTTACCTATTTTTCTATTGAAAATATCTATTCTAGTTTGCGCATCAAACCTTGCAGATATTTTATTGACGATATCTAAAGAGATTGAGCTCATGTCATAATTCATTATTCATATAGTCATTACCTTGCAACTCTGGATTTTCCCATTTGAAACTAGATGTGCCTAAAAATCCATCATTTGCACTGGCATAAGCTCTTGATCGAATAAACAAGAATTCAGATAGCCATTGATTATAATCAGTGGATTTTGATGTGCCTGTGGAAAGCGCGACGTGACAGCTATGTTCTAAGGATTGGATACTCTTGTCCAGACTGATTTCCATGCTTTTTATTTTGGCAATTCGTCCTAGACCATAAGAAAAGGCCAGCTTGGACAAGTGAATGCCCAAAGGATTTAATATGGCAACATCTCCTTTCAAGTCGGTTATTCTAAATCATATCTATTAGTTTTTGACTACGGAATGACTTGTGTTCCCTATTTACTCGTCTTCATCTACTGTATAATCTATCGTTTCCTTTGCCTCTTCTATAACAGCATTTGGTTCTCTTTTTTTCTCACTTTTGGTGACATAAAGACTTGAGAACTTTGTTTCCTGAGATGGCTGCATCCCCCAACAAGCAAATGATCCATTTGAGAATACAAATATGTCTCCTCCTTGTTCTTGATCGACAATATGAAGCGCGTCCTTTGCATTGATCTCGCTTGTTATTCTAAATTCTCGCTGATTTGTCACTGTGAGTTCATATCGGAGTTTATCCATGTAATAAGCATCCGCTGTATTGTATGCATTACAGATTTGTGTCTAAAGAAAGATAAAGGTACATGGTTAATAGAAATAAAGGATGGATTTACATTGGGGTTGTATTCTTGAGGTAAAGGCGTATTCGTTATTTCTGCATCAATTTCCATGACACGTCGAAGTAAGTCCTGTAATGCCCCAGCATTTTTTTCAACGCCTAAGTGTCTAAAGGTAGAGTAACTCTAGACATAAAGTGTCAAAATATCAAATTATGGCCTTTTTATGAATATCCTCTATATTTTTATACACAAGAAGGCTTAATGATCTAAGTTTTTATTTCTATATTTTTACGTACTACTCTTGTTCCAATAAAGATGGAACATCCTTTAGTCAACAATGACATGACCTACAAAAAAAAGTACTAAAGGAAAGGGAAAGGGGAGAGGAAAGATGTATGACTAAAAAGGAAATTGTGACTTGAGAATTTTCGTTAGTGCTTTGCTTCCTTGTTTCTTTTTTTAAAATTGCTTTATTTATTACTAATGACATCAGTAAGACAACCAAAGAAGAGAATCATTAGACGTGGTGGAGCTGAACAAGAAGATGCTTCCAATTTGAAGCTGGGAGAAGGTGTGAGAAAAAAAAAGACTTAGTAAAAAGATCCAATAGATTAAACGTATAATTTATAGAATTTGATAATGCACAATGTTTATATCTATCAGAGGTTCGAGTAATTTTAGATGCACAAGATAATAAAGGCATAGAAGTACAGAATAGAGCAACAACAAAGTAAATAATGCCATACTAGCACTATCTTTAACTCATCAATAAATCATAGTGCTGTTTTAGCGAAAACATTAGAATATGTACGTAACTTTGGCAGATATAATACCATGGAAGCTGTTCGTGAAGTTAGACAGTAAGTCTCTATAATAAACTAAAGAGGGCTGACTATTCAATGACAAAAAGGATTATGGCCAAAGATTCACTGACACAATTCGAAGTTGCACAAATGGCTAATTTATGTTGTGAGGAAGCTGAAGAAGCCAAGGCACTTATTCCAAGGTATTGCAGAGGATATTTAATGGAAAGCATGTACTCACATAATAATAGTATATCAACAAAATATGATGATGACGAGCTTCAAGAAGTATTAAATCAAATGCAACAGATCAGAAAGTTCCAAGGTTAAAAAAGTATTTGGATAGCTTGTTTGTAAACTTTATTAAATGTGGAAAAAGAAGAAAGGAAAGGGATTTCAGATTTTTCTAACTAGAAGACTAATGAATAAAAACAACGCATTAAATCCAGGGGTATTGTTAGTCATTTGAAAGACTTTCAGTGCCGTGTTTTAATTTGTAAACAAAAATATCATATATATTTAATTCACTGTTCACATCGCGATTCCACACAGTATCACAATAACTGCGGCAACCTCTTCTATTGTTGGCGGGTTGTGAGTGTATATATCGCCTCCTTCAATCAAACGTATTCTCATCAATGGGCCGATGATAATATATGGTGCATTGGTTTCTGTTGGATCATTACCATCACTAATAATGTTACTGCTCTCATGGTAGCTCAATACTCATACACATGGCGATATACACGTGTAAAGGGGTTACATTGGGCAAGCATAGCTGAAAGCTCTCTAATGATCTCAGAATCAAGATTGTCATCTCTCTCCGAGCGTCTTTCAGGTGCATATAATGGGTCGTAGATATAAAGCTGAGCAGATGAGGGGCTCGAACCATCATTAGCGGGTAGCAAAGGGCCTTGGAAGTGATAAATTTCACCATGAATCTGAAATGCATGAAGGCCACCTTTGTTGTTTTCATTATTCGTTCGTTCCTCGGCAGGGGCAATATCGCAGCCCAACGAAGTAAAGGCAAAGGCAACGTTGTATTGGCGAAGGTTGTCCTTAAAGTGACAGCCTTGAGTGTCTGTACGTTCGAGCATGCCCTTCAAGTACTGAGGCAGGTCAGGCAAGAGTTGCAACTGGACTGATCCCCGCTTGCAGCATAATTCCCAGCTAGGGTTTCTTGACAAAGATATCTCTTGCCTTTCATCAATCCAGTGCAGGGCATGGCAATGGGGGTATTCCTTGTTTATGCGTCCAAGGTTCAAAGGATGAAGGCGGGGTAACTGAGAGATATATGCAGCAGGGTCTGCTCTGGGTCTGCCTCTGGGCCTGATAGAGACTTCGTTTCCTTCGCCTCGCTGAGTTCGACGTTTGCGATGTGTAGCTGCAACTTGTTCTCTGAATGTCTGGCAAGTACCATATGTTGAGTCAACTCGCAAAGGTGAATGGCAAGATGAGTAGTTGATAGTAAGAGCGGCAACGGTATTGTTGTTCAGTACTATTGCAAGATCAAGCGTTAGTGAGTAGATTCTAGTGCAACGTTTTTAAGAAAGTGCTTATTTTTGCCTGTATCTGAAGGTTATTATTACTGAAGGCGCAACACACTATTTCCAGAAAATGTCGCGCTGGCTTGTCTAAATTGTACTACAAGACTGTATGAATAAGAAAAATAAGAAAAAAGAGTAAGGAACAATAGTGGCAGTAAAACATGTGTGCTCACAGCGTCGCGTGTTCGGTCCGTACAGATGATAAAAAACAGTCCTTTTCTTTATTACTTTGTTCTAAATATCTAATAAATGTCCTATGCTTATGTATTATGACTTAATTTTTTTCTTGTAGATTTCTTTGGTTTGTTTGTATGATACAGATGTAATATTTCTTCTGAGCTTAATCCTTTTTCCCAAACATGAATATCGCGGAAAGTTGCTTCCAAATTTACGCTATTGTCCCAAGGGCTTTGATACTTGTCATTCAGAGGCTCAATAGATCCAAACCATATTCCCCTAACTATACTTCCTATCTCCCTTGGATAATTCCAATTAGCCTTACTAACCACAACGTGCCCATCCATGTAAAGTGCAATGGCCGGTATGCTTTGGTTGGTCGAGACTGGATGAATAGTGAGGGTATAATGATGATATTCTCTATCTAATCCAAAGGGCGAGGGGCGCAGTTGTAGACCAGCTATACCATCCCATTTCCACTTTTCGTTTCGTTTTATGGCCTTGATCGATATGGATTCTGCATTTCTCTTGAGTTGATGCGTATAAGCACAGATACGTCCGTGATCTGTCTGGATGACCATAGCCATCCTACCGCTTCCTGGATTGCTTACGGCAGTTTTCATCCACCAGCTAACAGTGATGGTCTGAGCCGAAGTCTTAGTGGGCATGCCTAAGAAGATATAGCTTGTGTCTCCAGAGAGGTAGACACCATCATTCACATACACCGCATTTCTCATAATCCCTGCTAGATGATTACCCGAGTCGTCTTCTGCTGGTAGCGGATTTATTCCTTTTCTCGCTTTATTCGTGGGTTCCTTTAGTGGCCAATGCCCCACCAAGCCATCTGCTCTCTTGGTATGGCGCAAGATACGGCAACTATTGGGCCTAGGGTCTGGCTTTCCGTCCAATAAGAACGGCCTCAGTCGACAATAAAGGCTGTTATCGATCTCCATTATCACTTTTTCGTTCACATCCTTCATCAAGTTCTTGTTGGCTGCTGATTCCCAAATATGTGTGCCCAAATTTGCTGAAAAATCATAACTTTTCTCGAGAAAGAGTGTGCGCAATCCAGCACTATCCCACAGTGGCCAAAAGTAAGAAGTATAATTCAAGACGGTGACCTCGTTAGGGAAAAAGGGGGCAAGCTTCCCGGGCAGGACGACCGAGTGATAATTCCAATCAGAGCTATCAAAGGTGGCATAGGTAGCGTACCATCTTTGAATGAATCTAGAATGAGGTCTTGCCATGATCATGGCATTGCACAATCCCACGGAACCATCTGTTCATATATAAGTATATATAACATCATAAGATTTTTTTCATCACAACTTACCTACACCTTCCTGTGCCATAATAAATTCCTTGTTTAATAAATGATCAATCGGCTTTAAAGAGATCAGATCGAGATCAACATAGATACCTCCATACTTTTCAAGGACCTCTAAACGAACGACGTCTGCTCGATGTGCGTAATGGCTCACCGGTCGATCAAACACTTTTTGAACCAAGGGCACTTTGTTCAGTGTCAGCATAGGCCGAGCTCGTTCAAAGTTGTCGCCAACAGGTAAATGATGGTAGTGAAACATGATCTTTTCTGGTTTCAGTACGTCGTGTGCTGATTTGATGGCGAGATAGTGTATCAGGTCCAATGTTGGTTCAGGATCTCGTAGGCCATAAACAAAGTGAACAATCTTGGGGATGCGATGACCCATGGGTGTAAGTGATGCTTCTTGGGCAAGTGTCAGTTCTTTAAAATGCCCTGATGAAGGTGGTGGTAACCGCACTTCCAGTGAGCCACTCTTGGCATGTTGTATTGGGCGATCTTTGGTGGATGATAAACGAGAAAGATAAAAGAACAAGATGAGGAAAAAGATGATCAGTGGCCATCTTTTTCTGAATCTAAGCCGAGAGAAGGAATAGTTGTTTCTTTTATGAAAAGGTAAAGGATGTCTAGGTTTAAACATGATCCATTATATTTTTACAAAGAAAAAAAAAAAGAGAGACGCATAAAAGGCATTTTTATTTTTACAAGCTAGATATTTCTGTATTTCTGATTGTACTACCCGCTAAATCATTCCCGTGCATTTGGTTGCAGCATTTAGAAATTATGGAATTTTGATCCAACCGTACACCTTTGAGATTTACTTTATCTTTATTATAGAACGATTGACAAACTTGCTTTCAAAATGGGAGGAATAACTATCTAGTATATATGCCCCTTTGTTATAGGGCAATTGACTTTAGAAGGATAAACTTGACCAAATATAGGATGTGCCACAACATGTTGTTTTACTCAGTCTTTCCCAGTTAAACGGAAATAGAGTCTGATCCAGAAAAATACTCTCTCAGTAGACATATACGTATGACGAGGTCATTTACCAAATACGGGTCAAAACATACCCTATTGACCTGAATATTTCCTTTAAACAGATACTCATTTTGGCCAAGATATCAAGGGGACTCCTTTCTCTTGTAATATTAAGTAACTCGAAAAAGAGAGAAATCTTGTATAATAGAGGAAATACATGTGTCTTTATAAAAGCATTTATTATAATCAAAAGCGATATCTTCTTTTTTTTTACATTTTGGCCCCCATAAAAGAGCCAACCTTTGTAGCTTGACGAACACCTAAATCTAACATAATTTCTAAAGATATGTGTGTTAATAACATGTGTATCCACTCATAAACAACTATATTACCTTCTGAGCCACCAGGGATAGCAAATGCTCTTACTTCACGATACAACCGTTCCACTTTTTCGCCTTGGCCGCCACGGGTATAAGCCAAACCTCCAAAGATCTGAGCTGCTTCACGTGCACAGAATTCAAACGTACGTGTTGACTGGGCCTTACAAAGAGCAATGGGGCCACCCAAACGAACAGGCTGTAATTCAGGAGGCATCTTCTTGGCTTGATAAATAAGGGACTCGAGCCATGCATGAGTTGCCTCTACCTTACGAATCATATTGGCCAACTTATTACGGATCACAGGGTGGTCAATGAGTCGTTTGCCAAAGGTCTTTCGCTTGTGAGCATACTTCATGGCTTCTTCTATACAGCATCGAGCAAAACGGTTGGCTTGAATGACGATACCGATACGCTCCGCATTAAAGTTATGCATGATGTATTTGAACCCCTTGTTTTCTTTACCAATCAAGTTTTCCTTGGGTACCTTGACATCTTCAAAGGTGATATAGGCTGTACCTGAAGGCCAGACACCGGAGCACTTCATCTGGCGTGTGGTCACACCAGGCATGTCACGTTCAATCAAAAGGAAGGAGATACCGTTGAATCCTTGTTCACCTGTACGACAGGCAACAGTGAAATAGTCGGCAAAGGTACCGTTAGTAATCCACTTCTTTTCACCATTGACCAAGTAGTGGTCTCCCATATCCTTAGCTTCCGTCTGAAGATTGGCTACATCAGAGCCACCGGAAGGCTCGGTGATGGCTAAACAGATATGTTTTGTACCAGACAAGCAATCACGAACGACTTTGTCCTTCAAATACTTGGAGCCAAAGTGCATCACAGGAGGGAGACCGATACCGAGACCACCGAGTAAGCCCCAAGTAACCTAATAAAAACAAAATGTCAAGAAAGGGGTAACCATGAAGGCAAAATTCCACTTACACCACCAGATCCACAACGAGACATTTCATCAGCGACAATTAAAGCGTGGAAAGGATCAAACTCTTCATATGAAATACCACCTGGTAATCCATAAGGAATATATTCTTTTTCAACACGACCCACAGAGGCGGCAAGGATACCAGCTCTTGCAGCCTTGACGTAAATCTCTCGAGGCATCTGTTTGGCTTCATCCCATTCGTGAGTATAAGGCATAATTTCACGCTCGACAAAGTCACGCATGAATTGACGTACTTTGCGATGAGAGTCGTTATAGTAGGGGCTATACCAATCTTGGTACCACATAGGATCGCCAAAGGGGACCATGTCACCAAAGACTTCACCGACTTGAAGAGGATTGGTCGTTGGTATGTCTTCCTGTTCTTCTGATTCAGTACCGATTTCACCAATCATGTACTGAGAGGCGATCTTTGTGAGAACGGAAGGGTTGTGGAATGCGTCAAATTGCTTAGTAGCATCTGTACCAGCTGCTTTCAAAAGCACCTTCTTGCCTCCTGGATGGTCGTCCAAGAACTTTGAAATATCATACACCTTGTCATGAACGATGATCCAACTATAAAATAAATAAGATATTTGCTGGTGATGCTTTTTGGGTATATATTTTACCAATCATCTGTTTGACTGTGCTTAGCGACTTCCTCAACGGTAAACTTCTTGGACATGGGATTAATGTAAGTAGAGAAGAAAAGAAAATAGTGGAAATAATGAAATGCAGTCCTTTTAAATCAAGCATTCGTTGTGATGTGAGTACTTCACGTGAAAAAAAAAAGTTAGGGTTTACATACGAACAATTTTACCATATTAAGATAGCCTTACAAACGTGAGGGAGGGGGTATGTATAGGAGGCTTGTATTATACATATAGAGAATGACGAAAGCAAGAGGTTAGTCAAGCTGATAAAATACGGTCTTTACTTACTCAAACAGACTCAAAAACTAGGTGAATATCATTCAAAAAGAGGAGGTTGGAACTAGAAGAAAAAAATCATGCAATTAAATCATATGAAAAATTTGTACAGCCAAAAATTGGGCTTTCTTCTTTGCACAGAGAATGAACTGACCAATGAAAAGAATAGATACCCAAATAGATCTCAATAACACATACAGCCTTTATTTGGATGGAATGACATGTACACCTTGTTCATCTTGTCATTTGATCAAATGGCCAAACACAAATTTACCCCGCATTTTTATTTTTACTTTAAATTCAGACGTTTTTGGTTCTTTTTTGGACAAAACAACATAACAATTGTACTTTTTACTTTTTGATACACTTTAAGCTGGTGGATGTATATAATGGCTTGTATCAAGTTGGGCAAAAATAATCTTCCAGTTCAACTTTAGCCTTTAGTGGGCGACTAAGGTCGTGGTGTACCAAACTACTAGAAGGAAAGGTGTCTGTGTACCATCACAACAGTTGTTGTAACATATTGCAAAACTTCCTTTTAATATTGAGCTATCCACGCTTTTTAAGATACTTGTGGCCTCTACAAGCATACGTTTCATTGAACAAGCATTGACCGTTCTTATTTCTTTCATTTCCTCCAAACTGAAGGGCTCCATCTAGCTCGCGCCTTCCGTATCCACGATAAACGAATGGGGCGGGGTGCTCAAAGTTACACTTTTCAACCATATTGAGTATTTGCAGATCTACAAGCTTCCCCGTGGAGCATTTTTCACATCTTCATCTTGTCTATTTGCTGATAATGATCGACAACCTTTTTCTGTTTGTCCCCTGCTGATTTGGTTATTACAGAAAAGACGCGTTTCCTTTAATCAAATCAAGAAAGCTAATTTTTGAGAATGTTTCTCCTTTGGATTATAAAAAATCATGAGAGAATGTATGGCTGCTGATTATATACAATGTCATCAATACCATCGTTTGGTGTACGATAAATAAATAAAGAGTAGAAGGTGTATATCAAACACGTCGATCGTTAATACTTTTGAAGAAAATTAACTTTATGAGCTATTGCTCCGTCCATGACCCTATTCTAATTGCGTTTGTGATATAGTCACAACAGCAGAGAAGAAATACAAATGTACGCAGACGAACCTCTTTTAACAAACATACATCATCTTATATGCAGTCAGGATTATCTGTGGTCAATGAGAGTTGTGCATGACGCGTTGCATGATAATAAAGTGCA